TTTTTCTGTGGTGCTAAGGATCGAACCCAGTACCTTAAATGTGCCAGAAGAGCGCTCTACCACTGAACCACAGCCTCAGCCCCAATTTTTTTTTTTTTTTTTTTTTTAATTTTGAAACAGGATCTCATTAAGTTCCATAGGCCGAAATCTAACTTGTGATTGTCCTGCCTTAGCCTCCTGAATTGCTGTACCATTTCTGGCTATCTTTTTTTTACCATTGCTTTACAATAAGTCTTAAAGTCAGGTAATAACAGCTTCTTGGCTTTGTTCTTTTAGTATTGTATTGGTTTGTTTGAGTGGTTTTTCTCTCGGTATAAACTTTAAATTGGTTTGCTAATAGCTAAAATTTGTTTTTAAACCCAGATAAATACTCAAGGTGCTTTTGTGGTCATTCACAGCCATGTGCAGAGTAGCAAAACATTTCAGTCACCCAGTGTGTACATTTTCATGTATAACTGAAGCAAGTAGTGCTCTGCCTTCTTATCTCAGTTCTAATACTGTGAACAAGTCTTGTGTTTGTGGTCTATATAATACCACATTTTTGTGCTTTTTTGGGTGATTTTGCTATTTCAAGTGGCTCTTAAATATAGTGTTGAAGTGATGTCTTCTCTTTCTAAGTGCAAGAAGGCTTTGAGGTTTTTTACTGAGAAAATAAGTGCCTTAGGTAAGCTTCATTCAGACAAGAGTTACAGTGTTGCTGCCATAAGTTCATTGTTAATCAGTGAGCAATGTATATTAAATGAGGTGTGTTTAAACTGAAACACACATAAAGCAAGGTTGCGTATCTATCAGTTAATGAAAATGTGACAAGAGGCTTACAGAAACCTGATTAACTCTTTATTTCCCCTAACACTAGTGATTCAGTATACATGGCAACTTCATAGAATATAACTATTTTGAATAATGAGAATTGGCTATCTGTGAAGTAACATAGTTACCAATATTTTAAAAGGAAAGAAACTATTGTTGATTAAACTATACTGTCTTTTAAATTTTAGTACATGGAACTATGCTAGCTGTAGTCAAATTCTTTTGTGATCTGTACATTTTATTTTTGTGCCCATTGTGTAGATGAAAGTGCTGTTAATTTTTTTCACTAAAGTTGTTTTGCTATATCTCTTTAAGAAAGAAATAAAGCTTTTTTGAGTACTATTTAAAATATTGAAAATAGAAATAATAATATTGTTAATACATTTGCTTCAATCTGTTGCTATGTAACATATTACTCCAAACAATAAACATTATCTCATCGTTTCTGTTGRTTAGGAGTTTGGGTGTGTCTTAGTTGGATGGTTCTGAATCACTGTCTTTAATGAGGTTACTTTCAAGTTGTTGGCTATACCTGTCACTTGAAAGATTGGTGACAGAATACTTTGATAATGGTTCAYTCACATGGCAATTGGAGGGAAACCTTACTTCACTGCCGCCTGGATTTCTACGTGCTTCTAGAGTGTCCTTACAGTATGCCAGGTAGGCCTCTCCTGGAGCAGAATTCAAGACCAAGAGCAAGGAGGAAGCCATGCTGCTCTATGACTTAGCTGGTCACTTCTGTCATATTCCATTTAATAAAATTGAGTCACTAAATGCAGTTACACTCAAAGGGTAATTGAATTCTACCTGTTGAAGGGAGTAGTGTCAAAGAATTTGTTCACATATCTTAAAACCACCACCACATTAATATTAGCTAACAGTTCTTATTTTTTCTCCTAGTGGTAAAAGTGCCGCAAAAGACACTCCTGATGGATGCTCTTAAAGAAAAATCTGAAATAATCTATGATTTTTGTATGTGCAACCCCCCCTTTTTTGCTAACCAATTGGAAGCCAAGGTAAAATGTCTTTTGCATTAAAGTAGTTGAATGTTTAATTAAATTTGCCTTGTTTACAGAGATGAGAGCAGTTTTTTATTTATAAATTATATCAATTAGGATGCTTTTGGTTTGAAATACTTATAAACCCAATTCAGATGGACTTAACTGTAAAGAAAGTTTATTTGGCTTATATATCAGAAAAACACAACAATTGGTCTTCAGGAACAGTTTGTTCAAGGAATTCACAGAATCACCAGGCTGAGGCTCTGTTTTTCCAGGTTTCTCTGGTCCTTGGCTGTTTTGTTCTTGGGTTGGTTTAGTCATGGTCCAATCATATTTATGGGATTGCTGAGGGTAGAGCTTTTTTCTTTCCCTAGCATTGAACTTTTGATTTTTTTTTTCCACTTGGACCATCTTAGATCATAGTTTACTCCTGGACTAAGCTTGTTGAAGGGAGGAAATTATTATTTTTGCTACCTGTCATTTAATAGTAACTAAATGGCCTATTTTGTCTTTCTAACTTCAGGTGAAAAATATATTTGCTTATAAATATTGAAAGACATGTATGGAGTAAAAAGAACTAACATATCAAAAACTCAGTGCTAGGGTTGGGGATGTAGCTCATTGGTAGAACACTGGCCTAGCATGTGTAGGATCCTGGAATCAGTCCCTAGCATTGCAAAACAAAAACAAACAAAAAAATTTCTATGATATAACATATTACT